GTCTAGCCTATAGTCTAGTCTATAGTCTAGTCTATAGTCTATTCAATAGTCTAGTCTATAGTATAGTCTATAGTATAGTCTGTAGTCTAGTCTATAGTCTAGTCTATAGTCTAGTCTATAGTCTAGTCTATAGTCTAGTCTATAGTCTAGTCTATAGTCTAGTCTATAGTCTAGTCTATAGTCTAGTCTATAGTCTAGTCTATAGTCTAGTCTATAGTTTAGTCTATAGTCTAGTCTATAGTGTAGTCTACAGTCTAGTCTAGTCTATAGTCTACTCTATAGTCTAGTCTATAGTCTAGTCTATAGTCTAGTCTATAGTCTAGTCTATAGTCTAGTCTATAGTCTAGTATATAGTCTAGTCTATAGTCTAGTCTATAGTCTAGTCTATAGTCTAGTCTATAGTCTAGTCTATAGTCTAGTCTATAGTCTAGTCTAGTCTAGTCTATAGTCTAGTCTATAGTCTAGTCTAGTCTAGTCTATGGTCTAGTCTATAGTCTAGTCTATAGTCTAGTCTATAGTCTAGTCTATAGTCCAGTCTATAGTCTAGTCTATAGCCCAGTCTATAGTCAAGTCTATAGTCTAGTCTAAAGTCTAGTCTATAGTCTAGTCTATAGTCTAGTCTATAGTCTAGTCTATAGTCTAGTCTATAGTCTAGTCTATAGTCTAGTCTATAGTCTAGTCTATAGTCTAGTCTATAGTCTAGTCTATAGTCTAGTCTATAGTCTAGTCTATAGTCTAGTCTATAGTCTAGTCTATAGTCTAGTCTGTAGTCTAGTCTATAGTCTAGTCTATAGTCTAGTCAATAGTCTAGTCTATAGTCTAGTCTATAGTCTAGTCTATAGTCTAGTCTATAGTCTAGTCTATAGTCTAGTCTATAGTCTAGTCTATAGTCTAATCTAGTCTATAGTCTAGACTATAGTCTAGTCTATTGTGTAGTCTATAGTGTAGTCTATATTCTAGTCTATAGTGTAGTCTATATTCTAGTCTATAGTCTAGTCTATAGTGTAGTCTATAGTGTAGTGTATAGTGTAGTCTATAGTGTAGTCTATAGTGTAGTCTATAGTGTAGTCTATAGTGTAGTCTATAGTCTAGTCTATAGTCTAGTCTATAGTCTAGTCTATAGTCTAGTCTATAGTCTAGTCTATAGTCTAGTCTATAGTCTAGTCTATAGCCTAGTCTATAGTCTAGTCTATAGTCTAGTCTATAGTCTAGTCTAGTCTATAGTCTAGTCTATAGTCTAGTCTATAGTCTAGTCTATAGTCTAGTCTATAGTCTAGTCTATAGTCTAGTCTATAGTCTAGTCTATAGTCTAGTCTATAGTCTAGTCTATAGTCTAGTCTATAGTCTAGTCTATAGTCTAGTCTATAGCCTAGTCTATAGTCTAGTCTATAGTCTAGAATATAGTCTAGTCTATTGTGTAGTCTATAGTCTAGTCTATAGTCTAGTATATAGTCTAGTCTATAGTCTAGTCTGTAGTCTAGTCTATAGTCTAGTCTATAGTCTAGTCTATAGTCTAGTCTGTAGTCTAGTCTATAGTCTAGTCTATAGTCTAGTCTATAGTCTAGTCTATAGTCTAGTCTATAGTCTAGTCTATAGTCTAGTCTATAGTCTAGTCTATAGTCTGGTCTGTAGTCTAGTCTATAGTCTGCTATAGTCTAGTGTAGTCTATAGTGTAGTGTATAGTCTAGTCTATAGTCTAGTCTATAGTGTAGTCTATAGTATAGTCTATAGTATAGCCTATAGTCTAGCCTATAGTCTAGTTTATAGTCTAGTCTATATTCTAGTCTATAGTCTAGATTATAGTCTAACCTATAGTTTAGTCTACTCTATAGTCTACGTTGGTGTCTAGCGGTAAATTAGTTAAGTACTTTAAAACCTTAAAGTACTATTTTTGTTATTAGTTAGCACTATTGGTTTTATATATAGACTAGATAGTGTCAACTTTTTAATTATAGAAAATTTTCTCTTCAAGACTAAACATTATTAATGCTTGATTTATTTCTTTTAAAAATTTGGAAATATTCTACAAAAAGTTTATTTTAAGTTTTAGTTCAATGTACTTAAAGAGTTTCTTTCTACTTATAACTCTAATACAAACATGTACTATTATACATTTGTAATTTGTAAGTATTAATTATAATTATGAATGAATGTATGTATGATTATTAATTAATGTTTTTTTGTATATATTTTTCATAATTAATTTACGTTGTCATGAAACACAATATTTGCTCTTGGATGTTTTTTTTTTTTTTTTTTTGTAAATATTATTCAACTTGTCTGTTTTCTATGTACAAAAAATTAAATCAAATCAAATAAAAAATTGTTTTCAATTACAAATGCTCTTAATATGAGTTTAACTAACTACTTGTTTTTGGGTTTTTTCTATATATAAAACAAACATTACTTTTTTTCGGAATAATTTAGTAAACTTACTAAATATATTTTTAATTTATGACTAATTGGTGCGAGTTTTTGTTTATTTATTTACACTATGATTAATTTGTTTTTGTTTTGTTTTATAAAATTATAAATATTTATGTTTAAAAAAAACTATATAAAATATTAACTAAATAACAATACAATTAGCAACGATTTTAAGTAAATTATTTATAAAATATGTAATAATTTGTATGCTTAAGTTTTTAAATATCGAGCAGAACATGTTTGCGACATGTTGCACAATTAAGTGGTGTCAATTTCACTTTATTAGAAATATCTGTATTGACATTTTAAGATAAATATGTCATCACATAATATTAAAGTTTGGCATTCAAGTTTTAATTAAACTGGAGCACCCACTAGGACCCATAGTCCTATTTACCCATTTTTTTGTAATTTAACATAATTTGAAAATTCTTTGAATTGTATTTAAAGAAGTTTTTGAATATATTTCAGAAAATATCAAAAAATTCTAATTGTATTCAGGACCACACTCTCCCGGTAGTAAGAAAACTAAAAAGGGCCTCCGATTTAAAGAACATTTATTGATACCTGGAAATACTGCGTTGTTGTAACAGTTCGATAGTTCTTTCCTGAGGGAAAATACTTTCAGTTGATGAAGTTGTTGCCGAGTTGACAATTTTTAGCCGTGTAAGTCTCGGCGTATTCCGGTACAATGTTCCAATTGTTGCGTTTGTCATCTATAATCTTTTGGTCTCGTTTTCATAGCAGTTCAAGTATTGCAAACCCGGGGTAAAGAGGTGCTACTAGTACCTCTAGTCTGCCGTGACTGTAAACTGGTGATGTCACTTCACTCCTAGGCTAGTCCTTGGTATGATTTGATATGGGGTCTAACCAGAGAACCACATAATCTGGTATTACGGGTGTCCAGTTGCCCGCAGGACTTGTCCTGGCTGGATGAGGTTCCTTCGGGATCCACATAGTGGCTGTGGTTTAAACCCAAACTCGCGGGAAGAGTGAGTTGCGGTTAAAGGACTGATGTACGGTAAAGTCTTTATTTTGGGATAAGTTCGGTGCTGTTGTCGAGTACAACAGATACCGCACAGAGGAGTGACTGTGGGACTAAGCATTGGAAATGAGTTGGTGTTAATTGTATATGATATGAATGCAGAGGTATATGGGCCTTGATCACCCGTATACCAAGAACAAGTGTGTCGTATGTTGTTCTCTTGTGAGTGTGTTGGATGAATGAGAAGTGTGCTGGGTTGAATGATAATGGATGAAAGGTATCTTATACAAGTGATTGAATTTTCCTTCCTTGTCCAGGTATGTTCGGAGTAAACTCTGTTTATACCAGAATTACCACAGTATGTTACTGTAAGAACAAAGTCTCGGCATTTTTTATGGATTCGTACTTCGGTCTAACGGTTTCGTCTCTAGGTGCTGTTGGCGACTCAACGGAGGCCATCCCATCTGTGTGGGATGGTGTTAATTGTAATGATAAAGGATGAATGTAGGGGTATACGGGCCTTGACCACCCGTATACCAAGAACAAGTGTGTCGCATGTTGTTCTCTTATGAGTGTGTCGGATCAATGAGAAGTGTGCTGGTTTGAATGATGATGGATGAAAGTTATCTTATACAAGTGATACCATTGAATTTTCCTTCCTTGTCCAGGTATACCAGAATTACCACAGTGTGTTACTGTGAGTAAGAACAAAGTCTTGGCTTATTTGATGGATTCGTACCGGTTTCGTCTCTAGGTGATGTTGGCGACTCAACGGAGGCCATCCCATCTGTGTGATTGTAAACGGAAGTGATGTTTTTGCATCTCGGAAGTTAAGCAACGGGGCAGCAATGGTCAGAGATTAGATAGCTCAAGTACTTGAGTAAAGTGCACGTATACTGGAACTTCCATATACGGAAATTGCCACCTGCATGTAACAAACACAATGGGGCGGTGATGAGTCGTCACAAAAGCTCACCCAGTGGTTGAAATAAGACCCTCAGGGCAGGTGTAAAGCATTTCGACATTCGATAGCAGTTCAAGGTGAAATCATAAAAAATTCTTTTCAATTAAATAAAAATAAATAAATTAAAACAAAAATATTATTAAAATAAAAATTGAAATATTTATTATTAATTAAAATAAAACTTTAAACTCAATTATATTTAAGTATAAGTAAATGTTTCGATGAATTTGATTAGTATACCAAATTGAATTAAATTAAATGCATAAAATAAATTAATGAAGTACATAAAACACACAATTTCTTAATAAAAAAATAATTTAAATATGAAAACATATGTAATTAACTAAAAAAGCAATAAAAATGTTTGTTATATTTTTATTATTTTTTTTTTTAAATATACTATACATTTATATTATTTTGCAAATATATTGTCAATATTTTTAAATTTAATAATTTAATTAAACAAACAGAACTAGTAAATAATAACTTCATAATGAGAATAAAAAACTTTGGAAACAAAACTGTACTTAATGAAAACTAATGAATTGTATTCGATATTTAAGGAAAATGAAATAAACAGTAAAAGGATTTGCTACACAATTACAATAACTTGAGAGTGGTTGGGTCCATACATATTTTTTAATTTGATAAATATTTTATGTTCTAGTTATGTACATAACTATAATGTAAGTTTTCATTATTTCGTAAATAAGTTTTTCGATTATTATTTTTCCAACATGATTACATAAACTTTTTTCTAAAAACTTTTTGCCATTGAAAATGTAAATTATTATTAGGCATAAGTATACAATTCTCATATTTTATAAATTAAAATAATTATGTACTTTTAGTACAAATTTTAAGTGATTTTTTTTTGTTCATTCTTGTTATTAAACTAACACAGCATTTTCAAGTGAGGTAAAATGAATTTAAATATAAGAATAAACAAACAAGACAAAAAAAACTAAATTAAGTTTTAAACAAATATAAAAAGTTGTAGTAGAAAGTCCTTGAAGACCCTTTTAAACTTTTTAGCTTTCCTTGATTTAATTATTTTTTTACACCTTTAGTAATAGTTAGCACATAATGAGAAGTTAAGGGACGTTTTGTTGTTCATTTTTAATTTTTCGAATCTAGAAAGGGAATTTTAAAACCCGATTTTTTAACCGTATTTGGTGAGATTTCATTAGTTAATGCACTAGACGGTGGAACAGCATCGAAGGGTGGATTTTGTTGTGAACGATCAACATGTGGTGGCAGTTGCAAATTTAAAGGATCACGCAAACGACGTAAATCATATTCAATTTCAGCGATTTGACGTTTCAATTGATTGTAGCTTTCGACATCGAAATTCTTCTTTTTGGCACGTTTATACAAGGTAATGAGGTAATGGCGGTCTTTAACTTCGGGCATATTATATTCCTAAAAGAAAAAGGTAATTATTACTTTTAGAATTTCTATTCAAAATTTCTTTCTTAAGAAGTCTACTTACAGTTTTTGTTATGCAGTAATAGGCATACATGGCCATTGCTGTGCCATAGGTAACAAAGTATGTAACTGGTTCCATAATATCCCAAGAATATTCCCACCATGTCAGTCTTGCTAAGATGCCAAATTGCACAGACATCAAACCTAAACCAACCCAGGTCATTATGTTCGTTTTACGATCGGCTTGTGCGCTTAATTCCGATTTTTCCTGTAAGCGAAATAAAAAGAAAAGTATTAAATAGATCGTTGGAGAAATAGATAGATAGATAGATAGATAGATAGATAGATAGATAGATAGATAGATAGATATATAGATAGATAGATAGATAGATAGATAGATAGATAGATAGATAGATAGATAGATAGATAGATAGATAGATAGATAGATAGATAGATAGATAGATAGATAGATAGATAGATAGATAGATAGATAGATAGATAGATAGATAGATAGATAGATAGATAGATAGATAGATAGATAGATAGATAGATAGATAGATAGATAGATAGATAGATAGATAGATAGATAGATAGATAGATAGATAGATAGATAGATAGATAGATAGATAGATAGATAGATAGATAGATAGATAGATAGATAGATAGATAGATAGATAGATAGATAGATAGATAGATAGATAGATAGATAGATAGACAGATAGATAGATAGATAGATAGATAGATAGATAGACAGACAGACAGACAGATAGATAGATAGATAGATAGATAGATAGATAGATAGATAGATAGATAGATAGATAGATAGATAGATAGATAGATAGATAGATAGATAGATAGATAGATAGATAGATAGATAGATAGATAGATAGATAGATAGATAGATAGATAGATAGAGAGATAGATAGATAGATAGATAGATAGATAGATAGATAGATAGATAGATAGATAGATAGATAGATAGATAGATAGATAGATAGATAGATAGATAGATAGATAGATAGATAGATAGATAGATAGATAGATAGATGCGAAAGTTATACTGAGAACATTAAAATTAAGACTATGGACTTTCTTCTCAGTTATTAAGGAAGGGATCTTATACCGAAAAATGCATGCAGTTTTCAAAGCACGACCAAGTAGATCATGACTTTTATATATTTAAATTAAGAGATATCCATAGAGATGCCCTAAAGGAAGTTTTAAGTTAAACAGATGGTGGAGATTATTCACCACCAACTTTGTAGAATATAAATTCAATAATTTTGATCTGAATAGATTTGAGTAATGGCTACTAATTCGACTGTTTAGTCTGTTTATGAAAAACCTACACCATGTTCAAATTTCTCAAACATATATTTTAAATTAAAACCGTACGTGTTCCCTCTTAAACGACAATTTTTTGGAGTAATCCAGTGTGAATTTACTTAAGGAAAGTGATTTTAGTAGTTGGCTTTAAAAATTTTGAACTTACCCTTTCTAAAGGTGCTATTTTATATTTTAAATCTTCTAATTTAGTTGTCAATTCTTGCTCCTTTTCTATGTGATATTCGCCAACATGTAAGGCTTCGTATAACTGTTAAGAAAAAGAAAACTTTTATTTAAATATTATGTTAAGGGTCGGTTATAGCTATACAACCTAAAAGACGTAATTTCACTCAGATTTTAAAATTTATATGATTTTTCAAGTCACGGGACCAGTTTTATAGTTCTAAATGAGGAAATAGTTTAGAAAAATCAAATAAGTTTGCAAAACTTCCCCTAAAGAGAACTAAACCTTGGACCTTTAGTGTTATTTTGTCTCTTAGGTTGAACCAGCTGTAATTTTCAAATAATTTATATTTTTTAACTTACCTGTGCTACTAATGCTTTAATGTCACCTAATTTACTAAGATCTTCAATTTTAATTCTTTCTCGCTGTGGAGGAACTACTTTATATTTTTGGTCGTTGATGTGTATCCTGCAAGTAGAATTTAAGAGGAAAATAATTAAATAAATGTTTTCTAAAAGTGTTTTCAAAATTGTAAGTAAATCGTCTTGAATTCACTAAATCTATAAAATACTTTTAAAATAGTTTTATTGGGTATATAACTTGTAATTTACTTGCGCATGTTTTTGATTTTGTAAGAGGGAGAGGAATGAAACCAAGATATTATCAAATTATATTCCATTCACTTACCAAAAAGGTTCATCCATTAAACTTTCTATATTACAAGTTGATGCTATTCTAACGCCACTATTATTCAGAATAGTCGCACGATCAATGCCTCGATCTTCTGTTTTCAGCATTTCAATCAAATCGCCCACTCTGTGTGAGACAGGTTTTAAAGCAAAGCGGCATTTTTCATTTCTACTAGGAAGCGGTATGGTAAGATGGGGCAAACCGTGTATATATTCCACGGATACATCTCCTGTAAAGAAAAAGCAAAAAATCGGTATGAGTATCATTTGGCAACCAATTAGTTTTTCTTTAGGAATAATAAAATAAAAGATATAAATATGAAATAACTATTTGTAACAAGGTCATTTAGTTGGAAAATAAAATGCTGTAAAAAAAGAGAGGAAAAAGCTAAAAATTATTCTTAATAACAATAACTTTCTAACTATCTGTAGTTTTTAAACATTTTGTTTTTGTTTCTCTCTATTTTCTATTAAAATACATTCATGGAGTAAATAGCAGTAGTTTTCATATTGTTTGCAGTTCTGTATTTGTTGGAATTTATTTTCATAGGTTCCCAGTAGTTTTAAAAGGGAGCAATTGTAAATCGGTTGATTCGAAATTTAAAAGTTTAACACTTTAATGATCTCAAGTAATCTAACGGATAATCATTTTTCATCTTAAAAGAAGTTACTTATCCCCAGTAGTAATCCATGGCAAACACCTTGAAAGTAAGCAAAACACTAGTTTGGAACTCTATTTTCAAACTGCAGGGATGTTTGGTTCTCCATTAGTATGGGTCTCTATGTGTCCGTGTGTGTGTGTGTGTTAACAAGAATTTTGAATTTCAAACAAATAAATAACTTTTGGTTGTTATTAAACGTTTATATACTACTATAGTTTTGTGTTTTTGAGTTCAGACACATACTCATTCAGTCAATACTAACGATTCAACTGACTGACTAAGTTTTTTCAACTGCAGTATTCAAAATGTTTGAACAAACGTATCATTTTATACACAATAATACTAGCACATTTGTAGATTTCAACCATATAGTACATATGAATATACATATACATATATGTTTGAATATGGTCCATAACACGAGCAGACTGTTATATCTAAAAATTTAAGATTTTTAACTAAACCACTTTAGCATATGGTGATTACTTTATTTTGCAAAGGTTTTCAGGCCAGATCCAATAGTATATTGCTATATATTTTTCATCTACATGTATATGCCCAGTAAATAAATAAAGTTATAGAAAACGAGAGAAACCTCCATAGCTGTCAGATATCAGGTAGTTTCCTAGTAATCTTGTCAGATAGAAACATTCTATCTAATATCATAAATCAAATGCTGCTAAGAAAACTCAAATTACAATACTTAAAAATGTTCCCCTCAGATGAAGAGTCATCCTAATCAAGAACATATTTACCACCATTACATGTAAATAAAGCATTTTACAAACAAAGAGATTTCAATTTACAAGCATAAAATTAAAGAGTAAACTTTATTTTGGACTTAATCATGCTGAAACAATGATAAAGGAAAACTTTATTAATATTCAGAGCACTACATATGGAGATCGACCGAATAGGGAAATGAAAGAGAGAGGGAAGGCAAAACGAGGAAAAGAGTGCTAAGAGAAGGGGGAAGGCGAGAGAGGCGAGCGAGCGAACGAGCGAGAGGAGCGAGCGAGCGAGCGAGGAAGCGAGAGAGCAGCGAGGAGCGAGCGGAAGCGAGCGAGCGAGCTAGCGAGTATCGAGGAGCGAGCGACGAGCAGCGAGCGAGCGAGGCTCGAGAGAGCAAGATCAGCGAGCGACGACGAGAGAGAGCGACGAGTCGAGCGAAGCGAGCGAGCGAGCGACTAGCGAGCGAGCGAGCAGAGATAGCGAGCTAGGACGGCTATCTATCTATCTATCTATCTATCTATCTATCTATCTATCTATCTATCTATCTATCTATCTATCTATCTATCTATCTATCTATCTATCTATCTATCTATCTATCTATCTATCTATCTATCTATCTATCTATCTATCTATCTATCTATCTATCTATCTATCTATCTATCTATCTATCTATCTATCTATCTATCTATCTATCTATCAATCTATCTATCTATCTATCTCGAACTAGCTAACTGACTGAATACGGAGTTTCTAAGAGTTTTCAAAGTATTGACCAATATTTGCTACAACCTTCTCACCCTCTTTTGGTCAAAAATTATTCCCATTAAAAAGCGTTAAAGTAGCTTTTCGGACATGAAATATCGTGTTAAATGAAATCAATTTCATCGTGCTTTTGGATGAATATCAAAAAACGTTTTTAAATTGCAGCTGGAGTTGCTCCCAAAGATTTTGAAAGTTCTTGAGGAGTTTGATAATTTTCAGTATAAAAACTTTATCCGGCAAAAGTGATCTTTCTGATTCGCATAAGCCATCTTCAAATAATTTTTTCGATAATAATTAAAATTTTTCAATATAAAATTTCGATAATGAAATATACATAAAAGAATAATGATCATCATTACATACATATAGAAACTTTTTAAATAAGATTAAAAAATAAAAGAAAAACATATTGTAAAGAAAAGGAGATCAACAACTTAATGGTTAATTAGAGCGCATCAGTTCAATTTAAGCGATAAATTAAACTACGCGTACTTACTAAGATACTCGTGTACGATCAATAGAAAAATATACAGAAGTGCTTGAAAATTTCGTACTAAGAGATTTTTAGATTTAAAAGAGAATGTTTTATAGAATATTAACCTTTAAACGGGATATAGGAATATAATAGAAAAAAAAAAAACAGATTAAAAGTGATATAAAATATTAAACACAATATACATATAAAGAATTAAGAGGAAAATTCTTAAATTTCTTTTAAATCTAGAACATTTTTAAACTTCTGTATATATTTTTTTTCTACTTCACAACCACTGTGCATCTAATAAAAACTGCATTGAAAAACAAATAATTTTTACAATGTTCGTGTTAAGACTGTTACGCTGTCATCAGGCGTATCGAAATAAATCGGTCAAAAACATAAAAACAATATAGTTTTTTTTTTCTCTCTTGAAAAAAAAAAAAAAAACAAATAACACAAAAAAAAATTGCACAAAACTGTAGAGAATTTTGTTGAAAAAAATTAATACGAAAATATTATAAATTATAAAAATAAACACAGAAAATTTAAAAATTTATAATAAATTTTCACTCGTTTAAAAAAATAAGAAAACATAAAATAAGAAGTACTTGATTTGGGAGGTACTGTAGTAAATGTGAAAATTACATTGAATTTAATTTGATTTAATTTGTATAATGAAACTGATCGTTATCGCTATTACGGTGAGCTAAAAGAAAATCTATTGCTACTGGGATTAACAGAGATATTTTATTATTTATTTTTCGATTGAAGTTGTTATTTAAAGATATTTAATTATGAATTTATAAACAGTTTTATTAAAAAATATTAGAGAATTTGATAATCTATAATAATCTTTGCTGAATCATTCTCAAGCTTTGTAGTTTAGGAATGGATTGATCAATGCCACAAATATACTGATACTTTGTAGAGTTAAAAACAAACACACAAGGAGTCCCTTAGTAATGGGTCCTAGAACTGAACTAGAACTGGACTAGAACTGAACTAGAACTGAACTAGAACTGAACTAGAACTGAACTAGAACTGAACTAGAACTGAACTAGAACTGAACTAGAACTGAACTAGAACTGAACTAGAACTGAACTAGAACTGAACTAGAACTGAACTAGAACTGAACTAGAACTGAACTAGAACTGAACTAGAACTGAACTAGAACTGAACTAGAACTGAACTAGAACTGAACTAGAACTGAACTAGAACTGAACTAGAACTGAACTAGAACTGAACTAGAACTGAACTAGAACTGAACTAGAACTGAACTAGAACTGAACTAGAACTGAACTAGAACTGAACTAGAACTGAACTAGAACTGAACTAGAACTGAACTAGAACTGAACTAGAACTGAACTAGAACTGAACTAGAACTGAACTAGAACTGAACTAGAACTGAACTAGAACTGAACTAAAACTGAACTAGAACTGAACTAGAACTGAACTAGAACTGAACTAGAACTGAACTAGAACTGAACTAGAACTGAACTAGAACTGAACTAGAACTGAACTAGAACTCTAGAACTGAATTAGAACTGAACTAGAACTGAACTAGAACTGAACTAGAACTGAACTAGAACTGAACTAGAACTGAACTAGAACTGAACTAGAACTGAACTAGAACTGAACTAGATCTGAACTAGAACTGAACTAGAACTGAACTAGAACTGAACTAGGACTGAACTAGAACTGAACTAGAACTGAACTAGAACTGAACTAGAACTGAACTAGAACTGAACTAGAACTGAACTAGAACTGAACTAGAACTGAACTAGAACTGAACTAGAACTGAACTAGAACTGAACTAGAACTGAACTAGAACTGAACTAGAACTGAACTAGAACTGAACTAGAACTGAACTAGAACTGAACTAGAACTGAACTAGAACTGAACTAGAACTGAACTAGAACTGAACTAGAACTGAACTAGAACTGAACTAGAACTGAACTAGAACTGAACTAGAACTGAACTAGAACTGAACTAGAACTGAACTAGAACTGAACTAGAACTGAACTAGAACTGAACTAGAACTGAACTAGAACTGAACTAGAACTGAACTAGAACTGAACTAGAACTGAACTAGAACTGAACTAGAACTGAACTAGAACTGAACTAGAACTGAACTAGAACTGAACTAGAACTGAACTAGAACTGAACTAGAACTGAACTAGAACTGAACTAGAACTGAACTAGAACTGAACTAGAACTGAACTAGAACTGAACTAGAACTGAACTAGAACTGAACTAGAACTGAACTAGAACTGAACTAGAACTGAACTAGAACTGAACTAGAACTGAACTAGAACTGAACTAGAACTGAACTAGAACTGAACTGAACTAGAACTGAACTAGAACTGAACTAGAACTGAACTAGAACTGAACTAGAACTGAACTAGAACTGAACTAGAACTGAACTAGAACTGAACTAGAACTGAACTAGAACTGAACTAGAAATAACTTGAACTGAACTAGAACTGAACTAGAACTGAACTAGAACTGAACTAGAACTGAACTAGAACTGAACTAGAACTGAACTAGAACTGAACTAGAACTGAACTAGAACTGAACTAGAACTGAACTAGAACTG